TTTAGGATAACATAATATATGTAAATAAAGAGAATAAAATAATCCTATAGTTACAGATATAGAACTTGAGATATAGCTGTTATCACTGCCTTCTGAACTCACTAACTCACCTTTGCAAAAAGGTAACAATGATACTGGGTCTTTGTATTGTCCCAAAGTACCTTTTATACACACACACACATACACATACACATATATTCTTTCATTTGAGAATTGAAATCTGGGTGAATTTAATTTTGCTTAGCAAAACTGTTATTTAAATAGTTCTCTTTCTCTTTTATTTTTTAAGAGTTATTTTAACTTTATTTTAAAATTTCTAAAATTAGGCCAGAGAGGGACAGCATGCACATGTTAGAGAGAAAGGGAAAATGAGAAAGCAACCTGCCAGGTCCAGAACTCAAATCACAGTCAGCCATGTGAGAGTCCAGCTCCCTTAACAACCATGCCACCTGCTGTCCCCTAAATAGTTCTTTAAAATTGCATTTTGAGAGCCAGCCCTGTGGAGTAGTGGTTAAGGGAGCTAGATGCCACCTGGCCAGATCCAGTTTGAATCTCTGCCCTGGTGTCTAGAAATGCATACTAGGAGTATTTCTGTGTGCACTCCAAATCCTGACAGAATGGAGAAATGGAGGAGAAAGGATAGTGGCATGAGAATGCCCCATTTAGGGGTATACTTTTTCTCTTTCTTTTCCCTATCTCTGTCTCTCTGCCTTTCTTTCTAGAAAGTGTATATAAACTCTGGTACTTTTAAAAAATTGCATTTTAATTTATTTACGTGAAAATAAAAAGGATTTGAGGAATAGAACGGGACAGGACTGAACATCAGGGATGGCTACATGTGGAAATGAAGTGAGATTAGAGGAGCAGAATGAGGAGAAAAGATATCTGAGGATCAAAAGGAACAATTAGAGTTAAAACAATTTCTGGAATATAATTTGGATCAAGAAATAAAGAAAAATGTTGAATTAGAGGAAGCGATAACTGGATTTAAGAAACTCTTGGAAATGGCAAAAAAAAAAAAAAAAGAAGTTAACTAAATGTGAAAATGGAGAAATCAGTTTCCAAGGAGATTTAAAAACCAGTCAATTCTAAGTGGATATTCAATTTAATATACCAAAACGTAAGATTGATGATCTTACTGCAGAACTTAAGCAGAACTCATCATCTTTCAAAACAATACAGAAAGAATGTATATAATAAAGAGAGAACGGAAGTTGGAACAAGAAGTAGTAAACCTCAAAAGTCATATGGAAATAAATATGGCAGAACATGTTCAAGTAGAATAGTATAAGTGGGAGATTGAAGGAAGAGCAAGACAGGATATAGTAAAAAAATAAATCAGTCTATTTTCACAGGCATACACAGCAGATCAAGAAAACTTAGAACAATTAAAAGAGTAATTTACGCTTTAATAAGATATCAGAGTAATTACGCTTTAATAAGATATCAGATGGAATGCAGAATTAAAGATCGGGAATCTGAACTCTTCAACTTAAGAGCTTCAAAAGATTCTAATAAAACAGAATTGGAAAAATATAAGCAACTCTAGAAGAATCACAAATTAGAAACTTATTAGAGTAATGAACAAATTCAGCA